TCATCATCTGAAAATTGAACCGTTATCCCGCCACTCAAACGTTATCTCGAACAAGGAAAGATTCGTACATGACGTACATGCAAATATTAGCTTGAGAGAAATGTGTGATTTCTAACACATCAATTTATAGAAACAATACACAATGTATAAAACAACTCAGAAAATAGAAAACTGATTATTCTGTTTTTGAAAAATTAGAGTATACAGAATTCAATGACATCGAAATCTATATATTTTTCAAGCGCCGAGGGTTCTTAGGGTTGGAATTTCGAAGTTGAACTCTCGTGAGTTTAAGGCTTGCAAACGCCCACAGTTCTTGGAGCTGGAATTTCGAGGTTAACCTTCTGTTGGATTAAGATTTCAGCACCCAGGGTTCTTGCGATGTGTGTTTTTAGGTATATTTGTCGTGGGTATTAGATTTGCAGCGCCTAAGTTTTCTTAAGGTTTCAGTTTCTAGGTTACTTTGTTATGGATTCCAAAATCGCAGCGTCCAGGATTCTTGAAATCAAAAGTTTCACAGATAATCTGTCGCTGGTTTGAGGGATATGTGCATAGACCTCAGGATTTATGGGGTTGTTATTAGAGTATTCCCTATCATGGGCTCAAACTGTGGCACCGAATTTTTTGAGGTTGTGATAGTCTCGAAGCTATGTAATAAATCCACGGGATTGTGATTATTGAAGGTTGCATAAATGCTTGATTTAATTTAATCGGTAACCGATATTGCTAACAGTACATTTCAGGCTCGTCATGTCCGCTATTTTAAATTTTCGATCCCTGTAATCGCTTATTGTTGTCTGAGTAGTTTATATTTTAAATTGATATCAGCATACTGAAAATGAAGAAACAGTCTCTCATCGTACTCTTAAAATATTTTTCTCGATGTATTTTGGTGCTATAGAAAACTCATATTTTCTCTTCTTCGAAGTGCAATATCTTACCTTGAAAAAATCCGATTTTAAAAAGTGGATAGTGGTTGTTGAAGTACAAGTCTTGCCTTTTTCAATGCTTTCTCTGGATTCTCAATAAAGTTTAAATTCGCGATGTAAAAAGAGCTCAAATCTTGCAAAAAAAACAATGGCTTTTGCACTTTTAAGTGAAGATATCTCGGAAACCTAACATATAGCGTAAATTTTAAGCTCGGATACGGATTCAGCGCATCAAAATCTGATTTCTGGGCCTAAATTTTATCGGTCTGTGTTATTGAACCTGCTAAAAAAATATGTGATCCTTAAGATAAAATGGTACAAATTTTCTTTCAACTATATCTAATACAATATTATAAAAAAATTTCGAAAAAGAGTGTAATGAACAGGCTATGAGAGCCGTTAATTATGATATTTTTGTGATCTAGGCTAAATACAACGTATCATAATATAATCCTGATTATTCAAAAAAATTACTAAGCACTACAAATATCATTTCCTGCAATTGTAGGCTATTTTTTATGTAAACAAATATTACTAAATAAAATTTAATAGAATTTTTTGTATAATAAGATATGATATCCTTTTTTTATATACATTAGTAAATATTCTTCAGAGATCTACATTAATTATTTATTTTTAAGTCTTGATATTTCGTAGGCAATAAAATTATTTTGTAGAATATATTTATATCCGAACTACCATAAGTAATCTATTAAAAGAAAGTTTTCACTTTTCAATTTTCTGCTGTATGACAATATGTGCGGAAAGTGTTCCGCGACCATACAGAAAAGAAAACTCGGAAGTACACCTCCCTCAGGTTTAAAGTTCATTGGAGACCATGGTACAAATTTAACTAAGTATAAGTCTTTACGAAGTTATTTATTATCTATTATAGACAGATGATGGATCGATTCTATATACCTCAATACAAAACTTATGTTTTTAAATATTGACTAAAACCAAATTGTGTGCTGCGACGGGGGAGAGGGAGGGGAAAATAAGTGGTAGCCAATTTCCCGGTCTCGACTACCGCCAGCGGCGCAGTTAGCCGAGGTGTGCAGCTTTTATTTAGTTGAGTTAGGCGCCAGCCACCGTGCTCTCGCGTTAGGAGAATAGGTAGCGCTGCAACGTCGGCTGTCGCGGGGAGGTCCTGGTCGCTGTGATTATCGGGTGGTTTCCCCGCTGCCTCCTTCCTCGTCGTCGTCGGTCTCGCCCGGGTTATCACCTATAAGAGATGAAAAGGGGGAGCGCGAAATCCTATACGTAAGTCGTTCGGACAGGAGGGGATACCGAACGAAAGAGAAAGGGACAACGGGTGGTTTTTAGCCACCCACGGCTGCAGCTCGTCCGGCTAGTCAGGCTCTGCTCGGGGCACTAGGCTCTCGTCTCGGGAATGGGTACATCGAGGGGCGTCACGGGGGCGCCTCGTTAACGGATCAGTAGCTAGGAGAGAGGTTCCCTCCGATTCTTCGTCGACTGGTGGCGTGGTTCACTCGACAACGGTTATCGGGCTGGGCGGTAATCAAGTCGTTTGCATGCGCGCTCGTTAATCTCGGGACCGATCGCGATAACTACGGGGGATGAGGTGATCAAGAGGGCAAAGTCAATAATAAAACCATAATTAATAAAGACTCGAGTTTATTAGATCAACTATTCCCTAGGTCAGTCCAGTGGTCAATCCCTCGTGATCGTCTGCCTGCTCTAAGTTGATAGGGGCACGAATGGCGTACCACGACGCAACGTCGACTTGGGCGGGCAATCGTGATACGAGCGGTCTCGATGGATTACGAACGTGCGGTTATGCAATATTCAAACTATTAACTTCACGCGCTAGCTCAGGAATTTATTTAAATAAACATGCGCGCGCAGGATCGGTCGGTCGCACGAAGGTCAGGCGCGGCCCGCGTAATGTATATCCGATTGACTTCAGAAAAGGAATTTGTCAACGCGCGTAAGAGACTCGGCGCCCGCGCGAAGGTCATGCGGTATTCCCCTTTGTTTGGCACTTAACAAAGCCCATCAGGAAAAACGACCGTAAATAGACGCGCGCACTGAAAATCCGTTTCCCGCGCAAAGGTCATACGGAACTCTACAATTTGATTTAGCGAGAATATCATATAAAGGGGATCAGCGAAACTGATGCGCGTACGGGGAATTCGTACCCGCGCGAAAGCCAGAAACTCGTTAATTTTAACAATTTAGCCGAGAAAACTTGCGTAAGGGGAAATCGGCGGTCAACCGACGCACACGCGAAGAATTTACGAATGTGCGCGCGCGCGTGAAGAATTTGTCACTCAGGCGATACTCAACATGACGGAATAACAAAGAAGGCGTCCGGGAAGTCCATGGCGAAGGTGCGCGCTCGAGGAAATCTTATCGGACGCGCGAAGGTCATGCGACACTCCCGAAAACACGGACATTTAAGCGATCGCGCGAAGGTCATGCGGCACTCCCGATAACGCGGACTTCCAACAATCACGCGATTAAACAAAAGATGAGCGTACTTATTCGGGTTCCTTTTCGATATGAATGCGACCGTGGCTGCCGCGGCTAACGCCGCTGTAGCTACCGCTACTGTGGTTCCTGCCGTTGCTGCTGTTGCTACTGCTCCTGGGCTGTTGCTGCTACTGCTCTGCTGTTGCTTGCTGCTGCTGCTTCTCGCTTGCTTGCTGCTGCTTCTCGCTTGCTGTTCACTCACTCTGTTGTTGCTTTTCACTCGCGGGTTTAGGCCTGGTTCACTCCAGAGTCTAGCGGGACGTCTGGTCGGCACCAGCTTCTCCTTGCTTACCTCCCCTTAGCGGTTAGATGATTGGTTAGCTTGTTGCTAAGCCGGGTGTCAGCGCCGTCCATATCGGTATTTCTTGCCCGCGTAATTTTATCATTGGTTGCGTCTTGGTGCCTAATTTCCCTACTGGTTGTGAAGATAGCATCGGTTTCACTCCATTTGTCTAGCTACCCTTAAGCTGATAACGATTGGCTAGTCCGTTAGCGTCGCTTATCTATCCTTGTCTATCCGCTTCTCGTTGGTCTTACCAGTTCCCCTCACTCGCAACCGATCGGTCTCGTATCGGTCGTCTCGCTCGCTCTCACGCGTTCGGTTGCCCCTACTTTAGTCTAACCAGGTCTGCCTTAGTTAACGGAGGCTTGCGATCAGCTGATTACAGCTGGAATTTTTAAGGGCTTCTAGCTTCCCGGGGGAGTATCGGACGTGGTCGTGAGTGTGCGAGGGGTTGTACGCGGACGTAAGGGTCGTGCGCATCGGTCGGGAAGACTTCGGGGGACCGTAGGTCGCGAGATCTGGACATGCATGGGCGGGTGCATGCGGCAATAGTCGTTTGGCCGCACGTTTCTAGCAGGAGCGGGGCTAGCATAAGATAGCGTAAGTTTCATGTGATGACGCATCATCACAGTGCAAATATAAAAAGTTTTCCAATTAACAAGACTATACTTTATAATATTCACAATAAAATGGAATGATTGCTACTTATTTAAAAGCGCATTCAATAGAAGAAAAGGGTAGCTACATTTTGATTCAGAATCAGACGGAGTTAAATTTTGAAACTATTCTATTGTTCACCTTTACAAAGCTATGTTGTTGACATGGATAATGTTATATAATCTATTTTATCTCGAGAATAAGTATAGCTAGATATCCTATTCATAAAATTTATTTATAATATATGTATACAGGTTATAATTTCTTCTAAAAAAGCTTACTTTGGAAGTAATTAATAGATAACAGATATATTAAGTTGGTTTCCGTTTTAAACGGATAAAATAAATCATATCTTATAAACTAAAAAATATTGAAAATTGAGAAACTGTGAAGCTATGAATGATGGCTAAATTTGGAAAATAAATGCATTACATCTTTGCAGTTATATATGAGAAAAATAATACTAAATCAAATTTTTCGTAAAATGTAATAAGAACATATTTTTTATCATAGATAATCTTTTAGTCACCTTTTTCTTCAAATATTAAGCATATTTTAATATAAATTCTTGCTTGCATTTTATAGATAGAAAAATCAGTTAATTCATTCATTTTCATGTCTCTTATAATTTACAGGTAGTAAGGAGCCCTGATGGGATATCGCATTCTTTTTCGATGGGTCAATTAACTGTTCAACAAGCAGCTGTGCAAATTTTAGAAAAATACTATACAGAATTTCCAATTTACAACCCTTATTTAGAGCGAATTCCATTGTCTAAAACTCAAAAGAAAGCACAACCAAATAATTTCAAGTTTTATCGAGTAGATGATACGAATAATGTTAATTCCGAAGAATATAGACCTCCAGGTATCGAAGGTAATCAAGCTATTTTGGCCGCTCAGGCTCGGCGAAGAGATTCCAGCCATAATGAACGATTTTATGAAGAACATGAATACGAAAGAAGAGTACGCAAACGTAAAGCACGATTAATAACAGCAGTAGAGGAAGCTTTCTCGCATGTTCAAAGAATACATACAGAATCAGTATCAGGCTTAACAACAAATTCTTTAGATTCTTTAGAAGCTGCTCAGTCGATATTTCCCTCTATGGCTCGTGCTCTACAAAAATATCTTAGAATTACTCGACAACAACCTCAACATGCAGTGGAAAATATTTTAAAAAGATTAGCACAGTGTCTAAGCCAGGATACATCACCAAAAGTTTTTTTAGAACCATATTTTAATCCTAAACCTGTTCTATCAGATGAAAAAGAAAAACTTCTCAATATTCAACAATGGGCTTTAATATGCGATGGTGAGCTTCCGTCTAGACCTTTAAGAAGTGGTTGTGAGTTCCAACTACGACAAGGAGAAATAGCTTTATTATGTAGTTTTTATCAACTTCCTTGTTTTCATTTATCTGAACAAATAGCGTTACCTAAATATGATAAGTTTTTGTTGAAATTGAACTCAGAAATATGCCCATAAATATTGATGCTTACTAAAAATAAATTTCATTTATATACTCGATGGATTAAATTTTTTAAATTCTTGTACTTAAAAATTTATTTTAGAATATATGAAAGATTTCAAAATGGCTAGATAGATAGGATGGTCAAATATGCCTTCAAACCAATTAAAAGATAAATATGCCGTTATGGTCAGTCTGTTTAACAACTACTTTTGCTTGATTTTCAGACCCCTAAATGTACTTTGGGTAAAATGGAATCCTATTTAATGGATGGAAGATTTTTATTGATATCTCGATCAGTTTTTCAGTTAGAGATATTGTTTTATTTCATTTTGTAAGATTTTTAAGTCCTATCCAATTGTCTAGTCAAGAAAAATATTTGGCATTAAATTCAATTTTTTATAATGTTCTAAAAATGTCAAAAATGTTCATTTCAATAATAATGACTCACCGTAAGAAAAAATATGTTATATTTTCTTTTTAAAATACGCCTATATATGTTTTAAATTTTTAAAAGTGGGGGAATGATTGTCATCCAATTTTGATGATTGTCACGGCAAGTTTTACACGCTGCGGTAGCGATGGTCGAGTTATAAGGCGCGTGTGGGTACTTGCAGGAATCTAGGCGTCGAAGTCGGCAGTTATATAATAATACTTTTTATTATAAAGTGACAGAGCTCCAGAGAGATGTCTTTACAAGGCGAGATCGTGTACAGGACTGACTGCGCTTGTCCCTCTCGGGGGCTCACAAACTTAAGATAAGTCCCTACCACTTCCTTCAGAAATAAGTATATCCTGGGAACCGAGAGAGTCATATCGCTTAATTGTTTATTTAGGTTTGCAGCTGTCTATGTTCTATTTCATTTCTGGTCTATCATGTATTTACCGCGTACAGTTTGTTTGTTTCGGCCTATCTTATGTCTTCTACTTCAGTCGGCCCGCGTGTGCAACGAATACGCGTGTATGACATATGTTCTTAGCTACAGGAGATAACTATATTATTTTATTATTAGTTCGCATGACAATGATCCTTAGAAAAATAAAAACCTCTTAAAAATAGCATTTTTCACTTTTAACGCTATTTAGATAGATTAGAATTATAGAAATTATAGAAATCAATAACATTGTTTTACTTAACACCAAGAAATAAATTGTCATTTTTTTTAAATAATATTAGACCTTCATAAATTTTCACGAATAATATGATTTCCTATGTCGGTAGATCCAACTGAATGTGTTAACTTTTTCTTTAATTCCAGATCAACCTGAAATGCTTGGGTTTAGAGGTCTCAAAATCTAGCAAAAGAAGTGTCTAGACATACTCAATTTAACAGTCTATTTACTCATTGAATGGTTTTAAGGCATATTTGATTATCTTATTCGTCTAGACCCTTGAATGGTGTGTTATGTTTTACGTTAAAATTTTCTAATAAGGTTTCTTCTCTTTCTGCGCTCATTATTCTTTGGATAGTTTTGAATACTGTTTATAGATGATTGATTAAAGTTGTAGTGTTTTTCTCGTCTGATCTGTCCCATTTTCATAAGATTTCCTGATATACGGTATAAATGTATATTAAGTCATTTAGTGGCATTTTATAGTAAATAATACATTACTAATGCTAGGCTTAATGATTTTGGATACGAGTTACCTGTTAAAAGTTTAAGATCACCAACAAAAATAAATGTAAGTCTTAAAATATTGATATCTCAAAAATAATATATCGTATAAGGCTAGTCCGCAGCTCATTTTTAAACACCGTTCATGTATTTTGAAAAGTGTCTTATGTTTTTTCATCTAACATATTAAGCCGTTGCTATGTTGTATTTGAATTTCGTAAATGTTACTATTTTTCATTGATTTTTTGAAATGTTTATCACTGCGAAAAATTAATTATCCTAATAGAATTATATATTTATTATAGTGGAGCTAAAGCTTTTTTATGCCTTCTCAAATAGTACATGACGTAATGCGTGCGAAAAGTAGGCGTTTCCAGCACGGGTGAAGATTATCACTCCAGTGAAGCGAGAGCCACAATGCCCGTGTATGATCATCTACTTCACGCACAAGTTATGTATACTACTTTTTCACACAAGGTACGGGAAGTTCGACATTTGATTTCTAGATATAAAAAAATGTTTCTTAATTATAATATAATTTTACATATCTTATTATTTGCAAGGGTAGTCGATTCAATTAATCGATCCGTTCGCGATTCTGCTTCTCTCGCGTTAGTACAAACAATTAATAGAGAGAGGGGGCGCGGATCATTTGAATAAACAGGTACGCCTCAGCTATTTACGCGAGTTTACCGCCGATATTGTTTTGCACCGTGTTTCGCCGTTATTAAAGATTTTCTGGGACAATTACGTGCGTGAGTGCAACGACGGTATTACAGCAGCAAATAGCAGCAGTGCAGAAACATTATTGCAGCAGATTAAAGAGAGACTGAGGCAGCGCAGCTGATAATTAGGAGGGCAGCGGCAGTTGATATATTTCATCAACAATTACGGCCGATCACCGTAATTGCACCGCAGGGTAGGTGCATCTCCCGTCATTATTGCGCTACAAAATACATTCGGTATTTTGTCAATTGTGATAGCGATTTCTTTATATTCGCGCCAAGCGTTAGTTCGCGGTAAATTTCGAATTTTCTCTCTCTGTCTCTCTCACCGGATAGTAATCATTGTAAAATCCTGTTCGCGAGCGTTAGTCTTTCGGCCCAATAAAGACTGTAGTTATTTTTATTAATTAAAGTTAGTCAAATTTATTCGCCGATTACGTCATTTAATTTTCTCAGTAGCTTAAGCGATTTGTAAAAGATTTAGGTTTTTACATCTAGGGGATTAAGTGGATTAGGCGTAAAGTCGCCCACACCTAAGATTCATCGAGTGTCACAAGGCACGTGACTTAAGGTGAATTCAACTCTGTTCGATCATACGTGTTTAACGGAACGGCGCGGCGGTTAGCTCAGCACCGTGGGAGTTTGTTCTTAAATAAATTTCCCATTTTTTTGGATAACCTCCCCCGTTACATATTACAATTATCATATTTTTGGTTTTACATAAAAGCTAATAGTAATATTATTACAATTTTAGAAAATTATAGTTACGTTTTTATTTGCAATTAATGGCACATTCACAATTCTCGAATTATTTTCTGCGTTATTTGTAAGATCTTCCTAAGGCATAGATAACTCTTCGGGAATTTATCTTCTTCAAAATAGTATATTACAATACAAGTGCTGGAAATAAATGAAAATAAATTTTTCATGGATTGAAAAAAGAAAATTATTTTCATAATGGAATTTTAATAGTTAACTTATTTTTCTTGAAAAAAAAAAAATTTTCTCAAAGGAGTTTTTTTCTACGGTGTCCACATTTGAAGATAGACGAACTTTAAAAAAGAGAGATTTAAAAAATGAAATCAGCGTAACTTTAGATCGCCTCGATCAAAAAGAACTTTGTTCTACTCATTTTAAAGACGACGCAAATACGTATCCATTATATTTTATTTTAAAAAAATCTGCATACTCCTTCAAAAGTTAGAAAGTGTTTTTTGGGATTTGAAAAAAATGAAAAAATGTTATCCAGTTTTTTTAGTGTAAAAAGTACTATTTTCAATCGTTATAAAAAAACCAGCTTAATATGAAAGGTGTTTCTTTACTCTTTGAAATGAGTCCTCGCGGGTTCACCTACGACTACTGAGCGAGCTATAAAACTTTGAATTTTTGATAATTTTAGTATAGGCTGGCTAAAAAGTAATGCATCCAACTATATATGTGTATAAGAAGAAAAATAAATTATTTTTGTTTCTATATTCACTGACTTATGTTTATTGACACACGTATGCACATGTACCTATTTCAATTTGTGAACATTGAAAAATAAGTCGAGTAAAACATTTTTTGAAAAAATATTTTATGAAAATTCTTTTTAGGTTTTGAAATATTTTTTTCGTGATTATTTTTATGAAAGGCAAGCAATATACTTTTTCTTAAACATTTTTCTTCGATTCCAGAGTTTATTAAATAAAAAATATTTTCGGAAAAAAGTATTTTTTTTGGAAAAATCTTATCAATAACTCAACAATAAACTTAAACAAAATTATGAAAAATTATTTTAAAGCTTACTTTGTAATGATATTTATTTCGTTAGAATACATTAATTTTCTATAGAAATGCAAAATTTCAAAGAAGTATCAGAAAATAGTGATATTTACGAAACTTAAATAGAACATAGCAACAATGTAAAGTCTTATACGCAAAATAGACACTTTTTAAAGCACGAAAATAGAGCTTTAAGATGAGGTATTGATAAATTTTTACGATGTGTCATTTTTGAGATTGAATTTTTTTGTTGATTTGCTTAATTTGGTTTTATCTTGACTTCCTATATTAGCAGTTGATTTAAGAAGGACTTTACATGTTATGCATTCTTGAATTAAAAAAGCATATTTTTTCTAGTCGGCTATCCTCTAATTATTTACAGTGTATTTGTGAGTGTAAAGTAATTAATACTGATAAATGGTCTAATGTCAAGTCTAGGTATGATGATTCTTATAAATATTTTATGTTTATACCTTTCACAAATGTAAAGTTAATTAGAGCGGAGAGATAATGCACGTGTTGAAATTCAATGCTAATAAATAAGATAATAGTTATAAGTCTCATAAAATAACGAACAAAAGGGAGCTCAAGGTTAGGATGGAAAGGCGTGTGCAATTTATAATAGATAACGCTAAGATTTAATGTAACTAATTATTGTAATTTATTTAAATAGAAAATGAATGAGAATGCGTTATATTTAGCCGGCATAAAAAACCCCAGTCATGAGTGGGGGAAAAGCCATTTAAATACAAGCCACAAATATAAATAATGATGTAACAATTACATAGATGCAAAACTGGACAAAATAGTTGTTCGCTTGTAAAATATTGACACTTAAGAAAGCGAATTTAGCTGGCGGAATAACATAGGCACAGTAAATGCAGGTAGAGAGAGAGCCATAAAGTAGTTATATATATATATATATACCGGCGGTCAATTGAGGCTCGC